CACTAAGTGCAATATTCTTTTCTGGCATCGTTGTATTATACTCAATTGTATATAACATTTGTATTCTATTTTATTCGATTGTATATAGTATTTTATTTTATTTTATTCTATTCTATTGTGTACAGTATCTCATAGATATATTATTCCAGTGTTTTTTCTCTAATTTTTCTATGCAACTTGCACTGTCCACTGCTGTAACAAAACAAATTTCCCACACGTGGGACTAATAAAGGTTATCTTATCTTATCTTGTCTTAACCGTCAGCACCACATTTAAGAAAAGCTAAATGCATGACATCAGCACAGTCCTACCAGCAGTCAAACAGAGTTGCAGAGGGGTGATAGTTTGGGCTTGTTTTGCAGCCACAGGATCTGGACACCTTGCACTTGTTTAGCTCACCGCAAACTCTGTATACCAAAGTATTGTCCAACAGCTAAAACTTGGCTAAAGTTGAATCATGCAAAAGGAAAATGCAACAGAATCACTGAAGAATTCAAGAATTGAGATGTTGCAAGAGCCCAGTAAAAGTCCAAACTCCAATCTGACTGTAACGTGGGACACTAATGGAGCTGTGCAACACTAAATGCCCACAACTACCAAGGAACTGTAGCAATGCTGTCAAGAAGTATGGACCCAAATTCCTCCACAAAGATGTGAGAGACTGATAAAGTTATACAAAAAAACCCCACTATAGCTTAAAGTTAGGATTGACTTCTGTATGACTTATCTGTAACTGTGACAATGTTTTACAGGTTCAAAAGAATGAATATAGAAAGTAACAAATAAAAGCAGTCCAGGCTTTTCTGCTATACTTGTCCACTCACTACTGAGCAAAGCCAGGCTATGGGAAGCTATAAATAATAAAAACGTAATAAAATTATTACAATGCACCGCTGTTGCCAACTTGATATGGAGCCCTAGGTCTTGAGCCAAACAGTAGCATAATAAACATCACCCTGCACCCCATCTCTGCCCTCATCACGTAGAGTTTCCCTCCCACTGCCTCCTCTATCAAAAACACAATTACACCCCTGCATACAACTGTAAATCCAGTAAAAAACAGTTACTATGCTGCTCTGCCAGCAGGCCAAACAACCATGCTCTCACACCTTCCGACAGGCCAGACAGCCTTTCTCTGGTTATAGATAGATGCTAGTGGTGAGTTTTCACAGGCCAGAGAGCAGATGGTCTGACTGAGCAGTATCAAATCTCTAACACTACAAGGCCATGCAAAGACGTGAACTGGCCATCTTTGCGCTCAGTTGCCAACACACTGCTAACAGCTCCTGAAAGAAACCAAGTAGTGGGAGCTACTTTCTTAACAGTCATGCCATACACAAGCACAGAGCTGGTGTAACATTGATTTTAGTGGAGTTTACTACATGCATTTATCTTCAAATGAAAATGAAAACTTTATGATTTCTCAAGTAAATCTTACATTAAAGAAAGCCTTCGAGAAATCTGTATAAAGTCTAAATCTAAACATAAACCGGTCCGTGGCGCAAAAAAGGTTGGGGAACGCTGACATAGGGGCAAAGGTCATGTTTCATAAAGCAAGGCATAAAAAAAACTACTTACATTTAAAAAATATATATTTTACAACTTAAAGTGTCCATTTGGTTTCTGCTGATGGCTCAGTTTGAATATTGGAACATTAGAATAAAAGCAGGACAGCAACCGTCCTAGATCTATGAAAAAAAATGGAGGTTGGCAGTTGAGTGCATTGAATATTTTCACATTTGACAACTGATTTCAAGCAGCTGTGGTGGCTAAATGACTGAGTGTACGACACCCTCGACCACTTTTGATCGTCACGTAGTAACACAGTTAGCACCTAGCTGAAAGCGACCTGCCTCCATGCAGTCGTGGCCCGACACAGATAGTCCTGCAGCTACTCTCAGAATTGCTAAAGGTTTGCAAAATAACTGCTGTCTAATTTGCAAACACAGATTGCCAACACTTTACAATCAATCAGAGTGTGCCAAACAACTCGTCTGCAACTCATCACTTTGCAATCAGCGACTTGAATCAACTGGTTGGCAACTTCGTATATTTTTTATAAAGCAAAGTGAGCGTCTTTCTTTGTACGTAGATGGCAACAGATTTGTAAAAGTCAAGTGCTGCATTATCACAAACAGATTGCATGTAATTGTAACTTGACCACATTCGATCACAAACTAATAGCAGACTGACTGTGTCATTTATCACTGCTTTGATGCACCAAAGTTGCTTTGAAGATGGCAGCTGTTTGCATGTGGTTGTGGCCTTTGTCCCTGTCTTTGAAACAACAAGAGTGTGAGTTCATTGCATGCAGTACAGTGGCAATAATCTTGGTACTGATGTGGTCTCCAACCACTAATTGCTCTGCAACTTTACCATAACTAGTTTGACTCTCCTGGTCACGTTGGGCTTTTCTGTTTGGGATCTTTTGTAAAAGAGCCTTCCTGCCACCTCGTACATGTGTGAGATTAATTGTTGATTCCAAAACAGACACGGATGTGCAGTAGATAAAGTGCTTCAAATTTAGAGAATAAAGTGACTAGAAAAGCGCTAAAGGCCTGTCCATTTGCCAACTGTAATGCCAAGCTGCTGCCACACATACAGAGAACATACATGAACCTTGGCAACCACATTGCCTATCTGTACACACAGTGTTTGCCTACCTTGTTTTCTGAGAGGTTCACATCTGTTGTCTTGGCTGTGGCGTCCAGGTCAGTCACTCCTCTGTTGAGGTTCAGATCCTCTGCTGCTAGCGCCTGGCTCACCTCCTCGGCATCAATGTCGGTTTCTTCAGCGACGGTCGCCGTCTTCTCTGCACCTGTTAGCTCCCGAACTGAGCCCAGGAAAGTACATACACACACAGGTGGATAAGCACGCACACCTGCACACACACACACACATGTAGGCGTGAGCATGTACGCACACACACATGGGTGGACAAACATAAAAGCGTTTAAGAGAAAAGTTTCCACACAGCCACAGTATGCTAAATAGTTGACAATTTTTTTTTATTGCCACACAGATGTCAAATTTAATGTCAATTTAAAATAAATGTACTGTTGGGAGCACACTCTGGCTTCCATTTAGTGTTCCTGTTGCTGTTAATTTATTTCCAATACAGAAATCAGTGGTGGTTTCTGAGTTTTTACAAAGCAGATATTAACTGTGATGATCAACAAAATTGCTTCCTGTGACACAAAATCAAAACAGCTGCTGTTCACAGCCAGCCCTCCCACTCTTCTGCTTGTGGCCCCATCGCTTTTAATCAAAATTTTAATGGAGATATCCATTTTCCTTTTATTTGGTAAAGACTACTTTTGTTGCTGTTAATAGTTCCAGCAATCCAAACATGTTAATTTAGTAAAAACACTGTTGAAAGCTGCCACAGTTTATGAGAGATCGATGCACTGAAAGACATTTTTAAAAAGTACCATTAAAGTCAATTAAAAAAGCAGAAATATGTTGATTTAACTTGATATTTGCCAGCAATGATTTCTCAGTTATGAGATTCCTCCTGCCTTCAGATATTTCCTCTGTAGAACTTTGTCACAGTCACTGAAACACTTCCTCCCAGTACCTGGAATGTCTTCACCCAATTCAATGTGAACCTTGTAACCAAGGAAAGCCTGTGTTTCCATATTTTATTCCATAAAACTGCACAACTGCACTGCACTTGAAAACTGCCCACAAAACAAAATTGCATTTGTTTTCTAGCTGTTAAAAATACACTTGACTGGCATAGGGGCTGCACTCCCTTCACTGGCAAAACTATATCAGCTGGCAAATCCATCTGCCCACCACTGGCTATCACGAAATAAAGCGAATAAGCATGAATATAAGAATATATAGTGGAAATACACTCACTTTCATCTATTCACCTGCTCGTTAACACAAATATCAAATCATCCAATCACATGGCAGCAACTCAATGCATTTAGGTATGTAGGCATGGTCTAGATGACTTGCTGAGGTTAAAACAGAGCATCAGAATGGGAAAGAAAATGTGTTATGGTTGATGGTACTGGTCTGAGTATTTCAGAAAGTGGCGATCTACTGGGATTTTCTCACACAACAATCTCTAGGGTTACAAAGAATGGTGTGAAAAGGAAGTATCAAGTTCTTTCCGAGCTCGTTGCAACCAGTCTATTCAATTCAATTCGATTCAGTGACAGGATAAAATCTGCACTGTATGTTCCTGGTATGCAGAAGAATGCATGTCTGAATCAAACATTAAAGCAGATGGGCTCCAGCAGCAGAAGACCACACAGGGTGTCACTTCTCTCAGCTCGTTTTCCCCTCTTGTGCACCCAGCTATTAATCCTCTCCTCCCCCTCCACTCAAACCTCCTCTCCAATAGTTTGGAAGGAGCACAGCTTGTCATCTCCAATACTTACCATTCAAAACCTGCTGCCAGTACTACTCTTACCTTTTCCTCCATTACACCTCGTAATACTCACCCTTTCTACTCAACTGGCAAAGCTCTGCTGCCCGGTGTTTACCCGTGCTCTCTGCTACTGACATAATTTCCCCCTGTTGTCTTTGCTTCCCAGTTCAGCCTCAACTCTTTCCAGATGACTTTGTTATTGTTAATTACACTGAGAGAAGAAAAGAGCTAAGCTCCTTTGCGGGGAGACTGTTGCAAATTGAGAAATGGTGCATACATGGGCCTGGGTGGGAGCCATTTACAAATGACTAAAGAGAGCAAGCGTTATACGTCTTGGATAAATGATTACATACAGCAACACTTCCTCTTGGAATGTGTGACCCTGGTATGATGAATATGGCATAACTATTATTTCAAGCACTTGGGGCAGGGATAGCTCAGTAGGTAAAGTGGTCGCCCCATGATCGGAAGGTCACTTTATAAAGGTTTAGCAAAGTAGATTTCCCCGAAGTTTATAATTCAAATGAAAAGTGATATGTAAAATTAGCCACCTGTGCATGTTACACTGCAGGCTCTACACAGATTCACTGCAGAAGTCCAAATTAAGCTTTAGGCTCAAACCACGGCTCATATAAGAAAGTCAGCCGCCAGCTGCCTTCAGCCTCAGTGCCCACCCATGTCCACTGTGGGTGCAGACGGTGGTGACAAGAGGCCCAGGTGGCAGAGGCCTCCAGTGCCTCGGCAGAAGTGCAAGTAAGGGAAGGGCAGGGTTGACCTGAGGGAAGGGGGAACTGAACCCTTCTTTGTCTCCAAAACGCTGAGGGAAGCCTGGAGACAACACTGTGGGCAACCATTAATTAGACTCATCTGCATGGAAACTTATATGCAGTGAATATTTTTCTGATTAGTACAGGGAACGGGGGGGTTATAAAAATGTAATCAGATTCAGTAATTTACCTTGTTTAAGCTACTGGAATATTCTAAATCTTTTAAAACCAAAGTAGCAGCAGCAGCAGTGGTTCATTACTCTATAAGTGAGTGTGAATTGAAAGAGAAGGGGAAGAAAACTGTGGAATCACTAGCGCTTCAATTCACTGTTAAAATGACCAAAATTACTTTGAGCTTTTACTGTTTCTTAGTTGAAAAAAGGGTTAAACAGGTATAAATGAACTGGAAGCAGGTGCAGTTGTGTTGCTTTTTGTCACTCCATGAATAAAATAGTCAAAAATCACACTGACTGAATCAAAATAACTTGCTCAAATAAACAGTTTTTGTTTTGTGTGCTTTTAAACTGTAGCTAAAAAAGTTATCATATAGCCCGTGGGCTTTTTACCCAGCACACTTAGCATTCACTGACTATCTAGTTACTGCTGAATGGATATTCACGCCTGTGGCTCTGTTATAACTCATGCTAAATTGAACTGTAATGACACTGGCATTTGTTATCATTCAGTGGGCTTCGTTAGATCCAGTTCCAAGGTTGGAAGCTGACTTTACAAAATTCTTTGTTGTTTATATTACTCAGTCTGGGTTGGACAACTCCTCTGAAACAGTACAGAAACATTGCCGCACACTTTCTTCTCTTCCTTTTCTTCCTTCTTGTGACTCCCTGCTGTTCAACTCAGTTCTCCATCCCCTCTCCTCTTTTCTAATCTACATTTGGTCTTTCTTCTTCCTTTCATCCTCCTCCTGAGTTTATTTTCCCCTCTAACATCATTTCCTCTTCCTCGTCTCAACTAGAGATGCCTTCCTCCAGCACACTATCTCCCCCTTTTTTTCCTCCCCTCTCCTCTCATTGCCATGATAATTAGTTCTTCAGATAAGCACATTGGCTGTGCGTGACGGCGCTTGTGTTATTTAACACACCGTGACAGTGAGTGCGTGTGTACAGACCTCTCCTTGTATGCATGTGAGGTCCTCTTTACAATGTGTGTGCGATGCACAGTTAGAGCGTGTGGGTGATCTCCGGGCTCATCAGCATGTGAAAACGAGCTCGTCTTTGGAGGGCTGGAGGGGAATCTGCAAATAACATATCCCTGCCCGGTGTAGATCAGGGCAGGGAGGACGACCAGCAGCTGGCCGCTGTAAGATCTGGAACAATGGTGTAAAAGAGCTGCATTTGATGACTCCTTGTCTTGTCCTCTCAGGACCCCACTGAGAGCCACGTGTCCCCGGGCTGCCACACAACCCAAGCCGTCCAGACATCAGGCAGCGGATAAAAGTAGCTCAGCCCACCAGTGTTGTTGTGCTGTTTCTCTGTGTTGACTCATCCATGATATTCGCTCTAGCATACCATTCTCCTTCTTTCCAGTTTGGGCACAATACAGGCAGGAATCTCATCTACAGCACATCTACAGCTGTGTATGTGCAGTGCGTCTCCAGTACAACCTGTTAGTGCAGTCTGAGGACACATGACTATGCGAAGTGTGTAGGTGTTTGTGGGCACTGGGGAATGTGCTGACAGCCCTTCAGATTTTGCTTTACTTTTAGGACTTCCACAATGGAACTGATGACACTTCTTTCCCATTTTGCTTAGGGCATTAAAAACATACTTTTTAGGATTACAATCTGATAGAACAAGTGCTAATGGACTCTCACTGGTTCTTCCCGAGACTCTTTCCTATCTCAAGGTTAAAACTGAAACTGACAACACAACGTTAGACAAGTTAGAAAAGCCGATAACCTGGGTATCAACTCAATGATTGGCAACATCTCCATTTTTCAGCATGACAATGAGCCCAAACACAACTAATATGGTATAAACCCAATGGTCTTCATGTACTAATATGTACATTCTTACACAGTGTAAAAATAAACACGTATGCTATACTACTGTCCAATTAATGAAATGTGACCGGCCTATTTTGTTCCTACATTTGTTAATAAACGAGAACAGTTCTGAAGCAACAGTCTCGTATAATCACCATACTCTTCCACCCACATTTCTCTTTCTAAGGAAATGCCTCCAGGTGAACAGAGAAAGCGGTGACGCTACTGTACTTCTAAGGCAAGAAAGCAGCAGAAAGTCCAGCTGAAGAAATGAAAACAGTTATGTCCAAAGGCTCCTTTCTCATTTACTATGTGTTAATAGACCTCTTTGCATTGACTCATTACTTGTAATTAATCTCCGTCTCTCTTCCACAGCATGTCTTTCATCTTGTTTTCCTTCTCTCACCCCAACCGTTCGTGGCAGATCGTCGCCCCTCCCTGAGCCTGGTTCTGCCGGAGGTTTCTTCCTGTTAAAAGGGAGTTTTTCCTTCCCACTGTCACCAAAGTGCTTGCTCATAGGGGGTCATATGATTGTTGGGTCTTTCTCTGCGTGTATTATTGTGGGGTCTACCTTACAAAATAAACCACCTTGAAGCGACTGCTTTTGTGATTTGGCGCTGTATAAATAAAACTGAACTAGCTGAAATTATAGAAGTTTTTAATATGGTTTCCTCTGAGACACCCACCGTGGCTCAAATAAAGGAAATAAATTTGGACATCAAAAGAGATCAGAAACTCAGGGCAGACTGGAATAATGCGACGACATTAGCCTGTTGCATCCAGCAACGATATGTCATTTTTAATGAAAGATACGATAATTTAAGAGACGACAAAGAACACAGGTTCAAATTAAAAGCCTACACCTTTCAATTGAATCTTCTGTTTTCTTTATATTAAATGTAATAATTCTTTTATAATTTAAAATTCAACTGTAATTTTTAGCATTAATAACAATAATAAGGATAATAATACTTCATTTGCTTGTCCATATGGTCAGAGACACTTAAATTTGTTTGTACAAACAAATTCAGATACAAATATTATAAATGGCTGATGAATGATGATGATGATGAATGTTCATACGCGTAGGTTACACACAGATTTGTGCTTATGGACTATTAGTAAATACTTATTTTATAATTATAATTGTATTATATTAATATTTTAAATCAGTTTCATGTCTTCCAGTTTTGCTTTTACGTTTTGTTACGGAAAGACACTAACAAACTTCTACAACATTCCCTCAGTTACTATTCTTAATATTCTCAGTTGCCAGTGGTTGCACGGCTTCTATTTTAGACATCAAAGGACCTTGATATCTCTACTGTAGTCCACTTCACGTATGTTACACATTGATGCTGATGGGGACAAACAGACCAGAGGCTGGCAACGAGGCCACCTTGAGGAGAATAGCTGCTAAATTTATATCGGATTTAGTTTATACAACAGATTTATGTTAAAACAGGAGGCATCACTTTAGATTTTATCAGAAGATAAAAATAATGAATTGGTTATGTCGTAAATTAGTCTCATGGTGGTGAACCAAGGAGCAGAGCAGGCAAAAACCAACAGCCATCAGTCTGTTTGGATGCTACAGTGTTATGGCAACAGTGCAGCATCCAAACAGAGAACATCTTTCTTGAGAGGAAAGACAAAGGTGAAGAGCGACTTGCTGCATAATGAGGATGGAACAGAAAAAAAAAAAAAGCTTTTGCAGTAAAAAGGCATAAACATGCCATTTTGAATGATGTTCATATCAACTGTAACCATAAATTATCTTGGGGATAATTTCTGCATTTCTATGAATGCAGAAGCAGAGAGGTGATTGGAAATAAGCGAGGCAGGGGGAAATTACACAGGATGGAAATTGCAAGTATGAGTCTTATTCACTCAGCCACCTGGACAACCTCCAGCTAATATGAAAGAGCAGCACTGAATCCACCCACAATTTAGGCACTCAATTTAACAATGTTTTGTTATGGGCGTCTAAAAAAAAGACAAGGTCTATCAGTCTATCGGCAGCACAAGCCTGGCTGTTTCTATCAGCGATGTGCCCTTTGTTGGTCCAGAAAGTCTGCTCTCAAGGTCTGCTTTTAATTTTGAACACACCGACAATGTTTTTACTGCCACAGCCAAACAAGCCTCGAGTCTCCTTCACAGCACATGCCTCTGAAGCACTACATTACATCAACCCACACACGTCTATCTATCCGCTCACTCCCTGCGCAGTTCTCATCTGAAAGTAAACCTCGTAAACAGCTGTATTTACTCGTCTTAAAATCACAGTGTGTTTTATCTAAGTGGGCGCTTTACATGGCAAAATAACATTTCTGGCATCTCGCAGAAAAACAATCTTAGACTGTCTCTGTATGAACTTGCCTGTCAGCGTTCACTAACAACGCCTGCTGAAGGTAAAACAACAAATGAATTACCCTGAGACAAAACGTCACTCAATCAATCGTTGCATTTGCTCCTGACCTCTCCTCAGTGAGCTCGCGTCTACTTTTTTGTCTTTTAATGAGTTCAATTCAAATTGAAAACTCGCACGCAACTTTCACCTTGCAGTCTTTAGTGCCTCTGCAGCTCCACCATTCTCCAAAGTGATCACAGTATGCACAACTGAACTTGCAGTAAGCACTTTTTAACAGACTTGAGGCCACAGCAGAAGTGCTTTAATAGAATAAAAAATGGAATGGTGTTCGTGTCTACCTGTGACGGAGGAGTCATTGCTGTTCTTGTCGCTGTGGTGGTCGTCCTGTCCATCTGTGTTCTGCTGCGTGTGCTGCAGACTCAGTTTGTGACAAACTTCAAACGCCTGCCCGACTGTCCGAACGATACGCATGGCCTGGCTCTGCGAGGGTGAGGAGACAAAGAAAGACAAATAAATGTAGCTGTGATTCTCAGAGTGTTATCAGCTGCATTTTTGTGTTGACATTTGGTTTTAAAGAAAAATTAAAAACTCTTTGCTGCGTTGCATTTTCTAATCGACTTCATCTAGTGTAGCATCTTTCTCCTTAGGCTTCATCTGACTGGGTTTCTGCAGGTGTTTACCCAGAAACCAATACATGTTTCTGGGTATAAGGCAATGCAAACCCCATCACGAGCCACCAGGGTGATTTTACCAGATAAGACTGAGCCCAGTGTTGGATTCCGACTGGACCCAGAATCACTCTTAGAATATTTCCTGTCTCAGACACAACAAGCCCAGAACACGGGTGTGTAGGTCAGCTGGTGATTCACTCTTACATGGATGCTCTGGGCCACATGATGATATCTGAGATCACTATGTTAAGAGATCATGATGTTGTTGTGGGGCCATCATTACAACTGACCAATCATGTTGTTGTGATGCTTTGCAACTTAAGTGGGGAGGAAAAATACTGAAACTGAATCGTCCTGTAGTGGAAAAAAAATGCAGAGTCACAAAGTCTACATAAGGAAGAGGCAGAGCTACAAAGAAATGAACGGGCTTTCACCCGTGAGACTATGTTTCTACCAATGTACTGTAAATGTGGAATTATTACTCTTGGACTCAGTGGACTTGCTTTCATCCATCTATCTTTGATCCGATTCAGAGAGCCCATCCCAGCTGTCACAGAGTAAAGCTTACATCCTGAACATGTTGCCCAGCTATATCAGTTTTTAAAAAAGAAATGCGTCAGTTACATGTTGTATTTTCTTTAATTTAAAAATAATAATAATAATAAAGGTTTAGGTAAAGATTGAAGTTTCCATTTAAACTTTTTATGTCAAGAAGAAGAAAAATTAGACATAAATGACAAAAATGAGACAAAAATGACACATAGTACTCACTAGCTGGAAAGTTTCTGAATAATTTCTCATTACTTTTTTCAAGGGTGTAAACTTGAGGTCATGTTAACAATCTAGTGAAATGTGGCTTACATCGCCCGAGGTCTTCAAGATTTATTGGTGGAAAACTGACAAAAAGCAACTATAATTCTTACAAGTGTGGTGTGTGTTATCAACATGTAGACAGTACTGTATAAAGATTTAAAATATCACATCACATTTGACCTCTGACCTCTCCTTTTAGGTTAATAGACTGATCTAAGGTCAAAGTGAGAAGCTATTTAAAACTATGTTTCTTACTGCTATTGCATTAATAAATAGGAATACAGGGAACAATATAGGGGGATTCTTTTGCCTCCAAAAACCATGTCACATGACCTCTGACCTCACTTTTGATTTCACATCTGCATTTCTTTTAAGATGACCCCAAAAATTGTTTATCTTCAAAGAAAATATTGCAAAAGGAAAGAGAATGAGGTGCCCAGTTAATTAGCAATATACGGTAGTATTAGATTATATAATATTATATATGTACCTTATTCATGTTAAGTTATTTACAGGTTACTCCTACTATACTATTCCCTTAAAAGTAAATACTGCCCAGAGACTGAGCCGCCTCGGCAGAACTTTGTACTCTCTGAATAATTCTAGTTATTATTATTATTGTATTGTAGATGCAGCTCTTTGTTGCTTTTATTTTTTTGCTTGGTGGGGTGGTGGGGGTGTTTGTATTTCAGCACATTGAGAAATTTCTCCTTTTTCCTCCTTCTAAGGCATTTCAAACAAATAGCAGCCTGTTGTTAAAAAAAAATACTCCAAACTCTGAATTTCTACTTTTGACTGGATTTCACTTTACCCGCAGGCACACCGACTTTAGTGCCTCTGCTCATCTCCTCCTTTTTCCTCCTTCGGCCCTGCTCTGAAAAGGCAGGTCAGGCAAAAACAACTTAGACGCTTTCTATCTCCTGTCAGGCATCTGCTCTATCTCCTCACAGTAGAAAGGCGTAAAGGCAGAAAAGATTTCATTGTAAAGCACTCATTCTCAGCTGAATGAGTATAAATGGATGAAGCGTGGCCTAAAAGCCACAACACAATACACACATGACTGAAGGACCAAATCCTTTCTTGCCCTGCTTGTCAACACTGGACTAGTTTGAGGCTGTGTCCTGTAAGTGCTAACAGCATTAGTGCAAGCTCTGTATGGGATCAGAAAACAGTTGATGAGTTAGTGGGTTTTGACAGCAACTGAGCTCCTGGGCTTTGGCCTCAGCCCACAGATGTGTTTCTGTATCAGTAGTAATGTTTGTCTGCAGTCTTCTTACAGCACATTTTATTATTCATTTTTTTTAAATTAAATCGACTCGCTTCAGTTTAATTTAGTGCTGATGTTACCATAGTGACCAGCCATCAGGTGGCACAACCAGCAGAAAGAATTTATGACCTCCCAGTGTGTCACATACCTTCTGACCCTTACAGAATCAACAGTCGTGATGACTAAGCTGCCTTGCTGGCATAAAAGCTCCATGAACCTCCACTTTGTTGTGCTCAGTCACCTCACTAAAAGTCACTGACAGCATAAAGCCATTTGAAAACTCTCTCTCTCTCTCAAAAAAACAACAACAAAAAAACACTTTTAAAACCATAGAAATAAAAATTCAAGCCAAACTTTCAATGAAAATGAACATCAGAAATACACTCTGTGCAAGTAAACACCCTGCTGTCAGCTCAAATAGAATACTGAGGTGCAAAATAAGCATTTGGTTTAGCATTGCCTAAGTTTGTTTATTAAAGTGTTAAGTAGCAGGCGTCCCACTCTGTGCTCTCTCTGCATGCCCGAGCTCCTCTCCACACCTCTGAGATCAAACCGAGCCACCCTACGGAGGAAGCTCATTTTTGTGGCCATATGTGAAGCCCATAAGTGACGGTTGGCACATAATCCGACTGGTTCACCACAACGGTTAAGCTGACCACGTACAATTCGCCAGTTGAGCTCATGCTCCATGTTGCGTCAAGATCCCCGGAGAGTTAAACCTTTAGCTAGGGTAGCATTTCCGTCAACCACAGAGGAGCATGCCACTGGTTTCTGGCTTCAGATTTGGAGGTTTTGCTACCACCACATTGCATGCTACAGGTTGTTGCAATTAAGGTAGTCAAATCCCATGATCTGTGTAAAGCAGGACTGTCATGGATCGCTGTGTGGCAGCAGGATGAGGACCCAATCGCAAAACTCACACACACGGGATGAACTCAAAAACACAGTTTATTGCTGGCCACGAGAAACAATACAAAATAAACTAAACTGGGAAAACTAAAGCACAAGGAGAGAGAAACAGGGAAATCCACACAGCATGAGGGAGAACGCGACGCCGAACAGAGGGAGACGCAGACAGAAATACACAGAGGGTTAACGAGGAAGGTGGGAACACACGGGGAACACAGGTGACACTGATAATCATAACGAGACAGGGCGGGGTGAACTGAACATGACATGTACGGGCGTGAGAGTCACAAAGTAAACAGGAAGTGCACAGAGTTCAGACAGGAGGAGAGAGAGCACGGGAAAACACAGACATAACGGCTGGGAAACATGAAACAACCACAAAGTGTGTGTCTGACAAGGTGATTAGCAACACAGGGGCACCACAGGGGACTGTCCTCTCCCCCTTCCTCTTCACCTCTACACCACAGACTTCAGCCACTGCACAGAGACATGCCATCTTCAGAAGTTTTCTGATGACTCTGCGGTGGTTGGATGCATCAGCAGGGATGATGAGACAGAGTACCGGGCTGTGGTCAACTCCTTTGTCACGTGGTGTGAGCAGAATCATCTGCAGCTCAACGTGGCAAAGACCAAGGAACTGATCGTGGACTTCAGGAAGACCAGGAAACACTTGACCCCTGTTTCAATCCAGGGGTCAGTGTTGACATTGTGGAGGACTATAAATACCTTGGAGTACACATTGACAATAAACTGGACTGGGCTAAAAACACCACAGCACTTTACAGGAAGGCCAGAGTCGTCTCTATTTTTTGAGGCGACTGAGGTCCTTCAACATCTGCCAGAAATGCTGAGGATTTCTATGAGTCTGTGGTGGCCAGTGCGATCCTCTATGCTGTTGCATGCTGGGGGAGCAGGCTGAGGGTCGCAGATGCCAACAGACTTAATAAACTGATCCGTAAGGCCAGCAATGTTGTGGGATGGAGCTGGACTCCCTCAAGGTGGTGTCGGAGAGGCGGATGCTGTCCAAGATAAAGACAATGTTGGATAACACCTCCCACCCACTCCATGACATGTTGGTCAGTCACAGGAGCTCGTTCAGTGAGAGACTGAGATTACCGAAAAGCACCACTGAACGACACAGGAAATCATTCCTGCCTGTGGCCATCTCCCTGTACAACGCATCCACTTAACACACTGTTTGCTGCTACAGCTACACATGTTTCTTTTCCAAATATTTATTTATAAGTGACTTATGTATGTATGTATATATATGTATATATTGTACTATTCTTAGTTAGCGTATTGTCTGTCTTGTCTTAATGTTGGTTTAAAATGGAGCACTGTAACAAAAAATAATTTCCCCCAGGATCAATAAAGTATTCTGATTCTGATTCTGATTCTGAAAGGGAGACGAGGGCTCATAAATACATAGAGGGCACACAGGGGAAGAGAGAGCACGGGAGAACTTAGACATAATGGGCAGGGGAAACATGGAATAAAACATAAGGAGAGACGAGGGCTCACAGATACACAGAGGGCACACAGGGGGTAAAAGCCATGAAGGGAAAACACTTAAGGAACAACACAACAGGGCAACTCAGAAACATGGCTAAGCAAGGAACAAATACAAAATACAAGGAATAAGAATACTGGCCACATGGCCCAGGACCATGACAGGAGCTTGTTTCCAACCGAGAATATCTGTGCCAAATTATTTCCATTTCCAATTTCAATCATCCTCTGCTTCATCGTCCTTTCAGGAGTTCAATCAGCGTTATTTTATATATAAACTATCAAATCTAATCAAACTATATAT